ATTATTTAATTGTATTTTATATATTTAATTTAATTAAATTAAGCACCAAAAATAATATTCTTGAAAAAGTAAATTTTTATTGTTTTTTGTTTTTAATTTAAATTAAAATAAGTGTGAAACACATCTGATGGACTAATGTGCACTCACCCGTCACTAGGGGTGTTCAAAAATATCCGATCCGAAATATCCGTTCACGATCCGGGCCGATCCGATTCGAAAAATGGATATTCGATCCGATATTTTAGCTTTTGGATATTTCGGATCGGATACCCGAAAAAAATCAGATCAGATATGGATTCAATTTCTGGAATTTTTCGGATAACCGGATATCCGATTTTTTTTTGCTATATATTTTTGGAATTTTATGGATATATATTATGACTATATGTTTAAATGTAATTTTATGTTGATTTTGAAACACAACCATTTTGGACTTTTTACATTAGCATTTTAGAATCTTTTGTTTTAATAATGTTTTTTTGTTTGTTTAGACAAAATTACCAAAGTTACTCCCAAAATAAATTTGGTATCATTTTTTTATTAGGCCATTACTTAGTGGTGGAATTTTTCTTTTGGTAAATCTATTTTGAATTTGATATCTTGGGTTGATTTTGCTATTTTACATTTTTTTTGTAAATTTTGGCTAAAAACTCAACTTTTCGGATAATCCAGTGATCTGATCCGAAAAATCGAATATTCGAATATTTTCGGATCGGATATGGAATGAGTTTTACATGATCCGAAATTTTCGGATATCCGAATTTTCGGATCGGATCAGATTGATCCGATTGAACACCCCTACCCGTCACCACTGTCACAAGTCACGAGTACACAATGCCTCCTGCTACGTTTGTGAGTTACAAGTTTATGTATGAAAAATTACGGTGGGTAAAAGTCGTTTCTTTTTTCTCCATCATACCTAAAACATGAAAGTCGAGAATCTTAGAAGAGTTTGGGTGGAGTACGTCAGCAATGGAGATCTTCTGTTTGGCAATTGGCATCTAGTGATACTTCCGATCAATCTTCTATCATATCGGATCTGGCAGACACTGCTCACGAACATTTGTCGTCTTTCTTTCATGTGAATCAAACGCAATTCGTCCTTGTTCGGGCATGGGTGATCCGGAATGTGTTCAGGTGCACTTTTGTGCAAAATATGTGATCCAAAATTCTGTCTTTTCAGTGATATTTCACCACGGGTCATGTTTCTTCAATGTTGGGGCAGTCATCTCTGCAAGAACTGGTCTTTTTCTTGTTTTTCCTTTGTGCCCTCCAAGTGTTTGATCAAATGTCTCTGATCTTTTGTGTGTGGAAATTTTGGTTACTCAGCTGGAAATTTTGGTTAAATTTTGGCAGTTCCAGAGCTTGCCATGAATCCTTTGCCACAGGTTAGTTATTGGGATGGAAGTACAGTTCTAGTTGGTGGTTGCATTTTAAGTTATGAAATGTTGCTGAAGTTAGTTGAATGATCTAAATACTCCGTACTAAATAGGTGAAGGTTGATTTGAACTGGCCAAATATGTACTGTAATGTCTGTATTAGTTTTACTCCGTAAATAATATGGAGTAATAATAAGCAGTTAAATAGATGATGGTCAAGTTTGTTCTCTTCAACTTATTTTACTTATTTTGGATATTTATTCTTATTGTTACCAGATCAGACTAGTTTATATCAAACCAAATCAGATAGAATCCGATTAGACATTAATAAATTCGGAGCCTTTTCACTTGCACTAGTAATATTTAAAAAATTGTAAATGCTAAATGAAGTAGCAGTTAGTCAAGCAATGCAACTATCGACGTTGAGCCGGGGGTCTCTTTGGAAACAGCCTCTCTACTTTCGAGTAGGAGTAAGGTCTGCGTACACACACCCTCCCCAGGCCCTACTCTTGTGGGATTTAACTGGGTTGTTGTTGTTGTTGTTGTAAATGCTAACTGAAGCAAGAAGAATGAGATTGACCAGGGAGAGGATTTTCTTTTACCATTTGATATTGGCTCAAGTTAAGAATAACGTTCTCTATGTATGTGAATATGTGATATTTTATGATGATATTATTCTGTCTACTTTGTTTTGGGCTCGATGTTATTTGTGTGGATTTCATCTTAAAGCGACCAAAATATCTTTTGAAATGTAGATCTTAATAGTGGACAGTTATAAGTTTGCACAATTATTGCATTATCCTTATAAATTAGAGGTTCGAAGAAAGAAAGCAAAGTGGAAGGAAAGGTACTTCCATCTTGTTTGGAAGGAGAGGTTCGAAGAAAGGTACTTCCATCTTGTTTGGTTAGAGAGAAAAAGAAAGCAAAGTGGAAGGAAAAGAAAATGAGAAGACAAAATGTACTAAGAGGAAGGAAAACCAAAATCCTCCCATTTTAGTGAGGAAATTGAGAAAAATCCATTTTCTTTTTCTCCCTCTGAATTTTTTGAACCAAACATAGTGTAAAAGCTCTATTTTCCTCATATTTGTCATCAACATCATCAAACCATTAAGGTCTAGAAGTGGGGTTCGCGATGGTGGTGAAATGCAAACTTTACCCTTACCTATAATGACAGACCCTCAACTCAGGGGAACATAAAAAACGATGCTGCAACAGGGCAACATCACCATTTGTTTTATTTGTTAAACTCATACTTCATACCGAAATGCCAATTTTACTCGCTATTTACGTATTCCTTTCCCTTGTTTTGGTTCTTTACATATACCTCTTGGTTGATTTCGAGAAATCGTCTTTTTTGCATTAGTTATCTTCAAGGTATATGACTCTGATAGCAGTGGGAGGGTATCCTTCAAAGACATGATGATAGTGCTTTAGGATTTGAGTGGTGGATACTTGTCACATACAGAAAGAGTACTTTGTAAAGAGACTATTGGCTTCTATATCTATGTTCTTAAATATTCTGGTTTTGTTTGTAACAACAACAACAATATTATTATTACTAAAAATTGAGTTGCAAATTACTTCACCCAAATCAAGCCTCGTTTTATGTTGGGTTTTGTAGGATGTCTTGATGAGCCAAGTTCTGCATGAGGCTGGTTATACAAGGGACTCATTATTACTTTTGGATGACTTCATTAAGGTTTGTGTGTTTCATTATCCTCTCCCTTTATATGATGGAGGCTACATTTGGCCTTAATAGCCGGCCCTTCCCCGGGCCTACATGAAGGGAAACTTTGAACTATAGAATCATTCCTTCAGGCTGTCTCCATATATGTACTCATTACTGAATTACATTATGTGCACCTACACTGAGCCATGCGACTATGCCCTGAGGGAAGCAAGAGATTAAAGGCAATCTGAACATAGAACAATGAGTTAATCATTTAGTTGAGTATTAATTACAACAGGGTAAATGTGTACGAAGACAATTCGGCAAACTATATGATACAGCCCGGATTTATCTTCATCTTCGTACGTCATGACAAATTTGTAATAAAAAAAATGTTTCAGAATGAACACTACGTTGTTTCAAAATGAGTACTAAATAATGTAAAAAATATATATTTTCCACCTAATATCCTCTATGAAACTAGCATAATGTCAGCTTCAGCTCGTGACAACAACGAATGAACGATGATCATGTTTAGTATGGGGGTCGTTGCATGTACTAGGAATAGATCTTACTTTTAATTGATATATTCAAAATTAAAGCTTTTATTTAGCTTCTTTTTGGCTATTGTCCAAACTAATCGGTGTCCTAGAATAGGGTTGATCCCTTTTCTTTTTCCTACTAAAACAGCTGCCCATTTGCCTATAAATGTGGCCGATGAATCTTACCAATTTTCCCTACAATAGTCCTTTAATATTCAATGCCTACCTGCCAAGTTATACCTTAGTGTAAGTATGCTTTATCGGCTGGGTTCACCTGACATGTACTTTAAATGTCATGGGATGACCTTTTCAATCTCAGCCCTTGATTCTAATAACTTTTTAAATGAAGGGATCAGATTTAATATCACTTTTTTTAGCTTTAACTCACCTAAAATTAACGGAGCCCCCTTCTTTTACTCCGTCACTGCTTCTCGCCCATCGTCTCTGTCTCTGTTCTCCTCCGCCGAATCCACACGACGTTCTCTGCAATCTCCTCGGCGACCGGCGACGGCTTTGTCCTGACATCTCTCCCGACGAGGTAAGTTCCCCCACACCCTCTCCTCCGGTTTGACTTTACTTTGAGATGACCCAATTTTCATTAACCCTAGTTACGAGCTTCACAAAGTTCAATTCATTGCTTTTAATTTATGGATGAGGGAACCATCAAGTTAAATCCAAATTCGAGTTTATTTTCTGCTATACTACACTTTAATCCCCCA